AGAAAATTAACTCTATCCCAGCCGAAACCAGGACAATAGTGCAGGGATAATTAATAAGTGATCACTAAGTCCAGTAACTTGAACAACATGGTCCAGGTGGACCCAGACTGTAACATGACCCAGGCTGGTTTTAGTACTCCAGGCTCTGCAGCCACAGAGCTTCAGGACGGGTGAGTGGGGCAGGCTCTGCTCCCCAGGCAGGGTGCTGCAGAGAGGTGCTCCCTCCACATGAACTCCAAGCCACTCTGAACTGAGCATCAGACGCTGCCACAGGACTGATGTGGAAACAAACAACAGAGATTGATCCAAAGCGTTCCAAGTTTATTCATCCTCCCTGCACCACCTCTGCTTTCACTACGGCCTGCAGTTTCTAGCGATGCTGTTCCCACTACAAACTGCAGGCTCCTTACAAGTGGAACAGTGTGAGTGTGCACCCCATATCTTAACATGGTAGCTTACAGATACCTGGGCTCCACAATTTCTTCGCTGCATATGTTTATCTGTCTTCCTTCATGCTGCATCTGCTCTCCAGTGTGCTCTACTGTTCACATGCCCCTCCTTCCTCAGCATGCATTCAGAGCAATGCCAATACAGCCATACAACCTGCAGGTTCTGAAAACTGCACATTTTATTGTACTTCTTCCTTCACTTTGAAACAGGGCTCGACTCCTGTCTAATAAATGCCAATGTAAGGACTACATTCCTATGCTTTATTTGACCTTGGCAACATGGAAAACCTGCTTCTCTCCAGTTTTCAAGCATAATCTTCACTGCTCCCAGCTACTGTTACCGAGTAGATTTCTGCCATTCTGACTAAAACTAGTTCAGTTATTTTCCATAGGGCAAATGGAGGCGGCACAGCAAGTTGCAGTACCGGGTAATGCTCGCTTCAGTAACAGCATACATAAAATGACAACTTTCAGATGGAGTAACCAAGTGTTATCACATACCTTTATCGGTCTCCTGTTCAGAGTTCTGGTCACTAAAGAATATTTCTAAAATGAGTAATAAAGCTGCACAGCAATACCCACCTAAAAAGTATTCAAAGTGCAATATACAGCATGGAGACGACGAGATTTCCAACTAAAATTATGTTATTTGTGAGATTTTTAATTATTCAGAATAGCATAACTTAAAATTTGGCTTCTCTCAAGAACAAGCATAGCTTTAGGAGATGTAAGGGCATAAAAATTTTTTTTACTCTAAATATGATTTTTTTTTAAATGCTTATAAAAATGAATAGTTTGCAATACGAACACAAATATGTATCAATGGCATATAAAACAGAGGAGAAATTATTTCAGCTGCTTTTTAATTTAATTGCAACATTTTTTCTAAATGCTTCAAATTAATTCTAAGATACACGAACTACCTTGCTGCTTAATAACCAGACTCTTGTTCTAGCCCAAAACTCATTCTTTGAACACCATGTGCTTTTAACAGATTTCTTCCCTTTCTTTGTTCTTATGATTCTTTTTTAATACAAGAGATTCTAGTCTTCCCAAATGTTCACATTACCAATACGCAGAATTGTACAAAATTAAGTACTGCACACCCCCTAGGAACAACACAGTAACAGAGCACACTGAAATTCTCCAAGTTTCTGGGGACCTTGGGAAATTAAACTCACATAACTGGTGTAAATGCTTAGGCCCAGCTATATTACAAGCATATTTGACAAAAATTTTAAATTAAATGCTTCATCAATATACATTACTGGAAGACTATTATACTTTAAAACCAAATCTGAGACATCCTGATGATCATTTAAATACTCTTTCATGCACCCAGGTTCTTATACTGTTCTCACTTGAAGCAATGTTCATGCCTATGCAGTTCTGATGAACATTTCATGCAGATGGGGAGGGGGGCAGGAAATGATTTGCACTTTTTTTTTTTTTTCAACAAGTGCAGAAAAACCTGGAAGCAATAACTCAGAATAAGATTAGCTCCTATTTTCCCAGACTAGTTACTTTCCACCATTAATAATCCTGCCCCATTTAAACTTCAAAATACCCAAAGTAATTAAGCTACGTTGAGCTTGCCAATTTAGAGAGGCACTTGGGAGTAATATGCATGTTAATCAGGAACATTAGCTGCCAGACTATATGAATTCTACTTCTCATTAGTCAATCTTATATTACTGTTATTTAGAATTGTTTTTCAGTTTTCGGAAAAAACTCCCCCCCCCTCTCCCCCCAAACATATTCATCTCTGAGAATACTTATTCTGAGCTGTAATACCCATTTGTTTTAGGGATGAGAGGAATCCTTCCATAATCACCAGTTATTAAATAGCTTCTTGCTATCAGGGAACAAATAAGATGTAGGACATCATAATTTCAATTGCCTAGCAACAACTCTTCTAGCAACATGTTTTGACAAGTGGTTGGAGCCTTTTCTAGTACAAAAGAGTTGCTGGAGCACAAGGACTGTCAGAGATGAGAATCAGCTCTACCTTTCTTGATGGCTAGATCTGCTTTTCTCACCATCAGAAGAATTTCCATACAAGTAAAATCCTCATTTCTACTCATAGGGAAGTTAAATGATACATACAATATATTTTGAATACTTACTCACTATAGGCTCAGATTTATTAAATCTACTGGCAAGAAGCAACCACTCAAGTTTTAGTAAAGATTGTTATTTTTCTCTTTAAAATACCTTTACTCAACTTTATAGTATTTCAGAAGGAAAACACTTAGTTCAAAAGAAGAATTTCAAATAATTCCATTTCATTATCAAAAAGGTACCAGAAGTTTAAATATATGAATATGCAATGTAGTTTTGGACTGCCTTTCAGTTTTGAAGATCGATAGCCCAGCATTTTATCAGGAAGGTTGGTGCTTTAATTTAGGTAGTAAATTGTGGCATAGTCCAGTAAAGCTTGATTTCTCAAAATGCACGTGCAGTTCTATTATTGAATTTGTTAATATATCAAATCTTATTTAGAGATTCACCCTGTCTGTATATCCTACTTCTAGGTATATGCATACCAACACATGCTCATACGCATGCTTCTTCTTTCAGCTGTAGAATCAGTACTATTTACGTACATAAGAATTCAAACAATTAGATCAACACCGCTTAATCACAAACCAGTTTTAAAAATACATGTGGCACATTAAAACCTCATTCTCTTCTACTAGAGCTCAATTGTTCTCAACAATTTACAGATGTCATACTTTGTAAAAAGAAAATGTAAAAGTCACCTTTCAAAAGCTGATTCAGGTCCATAGCATCATGCAGGACTTTTCGACTATATCTGCGATCAAACTCGGAATCTAATGAAAAAAATACAGATATAAGATTGGATTTCCCAGTACTGTAGGTTTTACAAATTTTGTGTTGTACTTAAATTCTTCAAAATTACCATATAATTCTTGGTTCACATTTTCCTGTCTCTTTATTTTTAGTTTCTTATCATTTGATGCTGCGAGTTCAAAAGACTGGATAGGACTGATGTCTGGAGTTGACAGTGGCGTTACGTCTGTCACTGTGTCTTCAGACTCCTCCAAGTAGTCACCGAGCTTTGGTTTTCCTTCTGCTAATTTCACTGATGACTTAAATTTTTGTTTTGGAGACAGAAGAGTGTTCCTGCAAGCATTCCTCTTTGAGGAAGAATGAGATGAATCTGATAAACAGCTATCGGAATCTGTCTCAGAACAATCTGTATCTGAGCTTGAGGACGAGGATGAGGAGGAAGAGGAGGAGGAAGAGGAAGAGGAGCTGATATTAGTATATTTTTTGCTAGTCTTTTTTATGTTGTTTGACTGCTTAGCTGACTTTGGTCTAACCTTCTGTTTTTTGCCATCGTCACTACTATCTTCTTCATCTGTATAATAATCTTCTTCACCTTCTTTAACTATTTTGGGGATTCCAGCAGGAACATTCTCCTGTGTTCCCATACTTGCTGCTGATGTCGCTCCAGATGTACCTGCGTCCTCCACAACTGGAGAAAGTGACAAAGATGAAGCACCTCCAAGATGATCTGGGCTATTTTCTAGGGACTGATTCTTCTGCAAATCTTTCTGCTTTTCTTCACTTTCCTCCTCACAATGCTTTGCATCCTTTGAATTAGAAACGAAATCAGGGTCTGCAAGAGCTGCCTTTGTACTTCCTTTCTCTATACATTCACCATTTTGTTCAGCTTTCTTTTTCTCTTCTTCAAAATCACTGTCAAAGAAAGCATGATCCACTTCACCATCTGATACATCTTCAAACCGGTCCATACTGAAATATGAAGTGCCACCTGCAACCATCAGAAAAGGTTTCCAAAGGTTAGCATAAAAAGAGATCCAAGTACACTTTTGGTGTAATAGCTTTGTTCTTTAGTCTTTTAGCTCTAGTAATTTATAATTCTGCAATTAATTATGTTATGTTGCTAGGGACAACTCCGTAGTCAGTTCTATAAAGAAATTTTGTGCCACCTTGTTGTACACAGCTTACATATTAGACCAAAAAGCTTTACTTTAAGCTAACAAAAACCATCATGATTTCAAAACTTTTACTCCTAAGGAAATTAGTCAAACATTGTTAGCAGCTAAAGAGTCTTAACTATGACAAACAAGCAACTGAAGTGTCTTTTGTTCCTTTAAGCTAGAGCCACTTTAAGCTAGAGCCACTAATGAGCTATCATTAGTTTGGATTTTATATTAAAAACCTTGTTTGTTTGTGGTGGTCATCATCTTGGCCGACACAGCCATTCAAACCACAGACTTTCAGCGCCTAAAGTAGGAGCAATTTCAACTTACATCAACAGATCCATGGCTCTGTAGGTTAAATTGTAATAGATGTAGGGTGCGTCAGTGTTAATGTTTTAGCCTGGATCAGGAGCCTGCTTTTCTTAACAGTCCTCTGTAACCAACATTGCATAGTACAGTGAGCAAACCTGATTCTTTCAGATGAAACTAACCTTTAAAGCGTGCTCCCGGCATGAAACTAGTGCACTTAAACCAGCAGTCACCATTCAGTCCATGGGACCAGATTACAGCTAGGCCAAAGGAAAAACCCCAAATACATACAGGGTGGATATCAGGTCCTCAGCACTAACCATTATGCTCTACAAATGTGCTCCTCTTGTGTCATACTTCTTGCAGAAATATATGGTGTTAGATCCTATGCACGTGGAAGGGTGGATATGAAAGTTTCCACTCATTAGTAGGATATACACAGAGTTAAAATAAAAAAAAACAAACACCCCACAACCAAACAAAATTAGTCAGTATCAAAGACTACCGTTCCCACCTAGCCAGCAGTACTTTTCTCCTACTATTTACAACAGAGTTTACATAAATTTTGTGAGCTGCAATCAATAAATATGTACCATTCTTTAGAGCCAAGGAAACAAAAAACAAAGACAGTGGAAGCAACTATACAAGGCAGGAGAACCAGAACATTTTACAAGATGGATGGTCTCCCTTAAACCACATATAGTTTGTTGCCATGGCAAACAAAGGTGAAAAAGGAATTCCTAAGCGTGCTTTGAAACTGCAAGACTATTCCCAAGAAAACTTCTAGCTAAAATTACTTCAAAATATGCAGTTTTTAAAGGTCTATGTCACTCAATTATCTTGCCACCTCTCAAATAATACTCAGCTTTAGGGGAATTTGAAATATGCATCCCAAATACAAAAAGCTCAACATAAACCTTAAAAGCAGATGATGTGGAATCTCCTGTGGTTTTACGATCACAAAGCAAAAGAACTGAAGAGAGACTTAATAAGGTTAGATGTTGCATAAAGCTGAAAATGCTATTCAACAACAGAAGCAGAGGCCAACTTTGGTGCCATGAAGAGTAACTTGTTAAACCACCTAACTCCTCTAAGAGCAACAGAACAAAGGAGCAATGCACCTGGGAACTCTTAATTTGAAATGCTACATGGAATTTGCAAACTTTTCACATTCATGTCACTTCTTGTGAACCCTGGCTTCGGGCAGCTTGCATAGTCTGCAATGCCCAACTGTCATGTGAATTCCTGGAAGTGTTCCTAGAACAGCTTCCTAAAAGGATAATGCATTTCAATATATCAAAAAATGCAAAACAGGAAAAAAAAAATCAGAAGAGTGCAACACGTTATTTATACTTAATTTTCTATCTCATGTAACCTAAACCAGAAGGGAACCAAGCAGAATTTTTTGGCATTACCTACAGACTATAGATCATGAATTATTTGTTTAGCAAGTACAACTTGTGCAAAGTCAATTCTATGATGAAAATGAATACAGGAAGTACAGCGTTAAAATTCAAACAAAAACCTTTCTTCTCCATGATGGAAGATTTTTAGTACTTAAGGCACCAACATCTCACCAGTTTGTACCTTCAGACAGATTATGACCAATCAGTAAAAATAGGCATGTGCCATATTTCACTTGTCTCAAACACATAGATTTGATATACTGTTAGCCCTGTTGTATGTATATAAGCCTAAGATAAGGCAAAAAAACAGGTTTGCAGGTGGATGCAGACCAACAAGTACAGCTTGAAATACAAAATTTTGTTGACTGTAATACACACATCCATATACTTTTAGTTTATGTAATGCTACTCCTGCAAAGGAGACGAAACTAACAGTATCTCATCAGCTATAATATAATAGACTTTTCTGAACACAATCACTTAAGGCGGATGGGATTTAACTCAAGACAGCAGCAGAAGAGCAGAGTAGAGGTGGCAAAAGGTGATAAAATATAGCAAGGAGCCTGTATGCTCCTTTCCACCATTAGCACCAGCCAAGGAGCACATATCTTCCCACTCTGCATGACTTAGGAATAGCTCACCTGCCAGTGGGCTGTCTTCCACAAAGACTGAGCCATAACCGATTCATGGACAGCAACCACTGTCACCATGAGAAATGCAGTTTAGCTGTCTGACTCTGCCTAAGGAGCAGCAGTCGTAACACCAGTCATATCATTGCCAAATGTTCCTTCCACTTTTCTGGCACAAGCCCCTGACGACTTCAGCCTTCATCTTAATGGAAAATGGACATGCTGCGTTGGGTAATTTCTCTCACTGACACTCTTAATCACTCACAAACTAAACATTAATTAATATTGTAATTTCCATTAAAAACAAACAAGAGGAAATAGATGAAGAGATGGGTTTTTTGGTTCCTATTCCCCTCATGCATCTAGAATGTCTTTAAGGGAGCTGGAATTTGCCAAGAAGTAGTAACACAGAAGAAGCAATTTTGCTGATAAACCATGCCTAAATTAATAAATTGGCTGCGTGTGCACACATACACACTCACACCCCTTTACATGCAGGGCAGAGTGTAATTTTATCCCTGGGAGAAGTACAGAGTTCTGCTACGTCATCAATTGTTAAAATACGGAATCCACAAGCGATATTCTGAAATCCCAAGAAAACTGTCGTTAGAGTCAAATACTTATCATTAACTGCTAATTCTAATGACCACTGTATTTATTTACAAAAAATATATGCTTTCTGTGGCTTTCTGCCATGAAACCCTCTAACACAAATATCATCAAGTCAGATGAGCAGGCTGGCCATTAATTGTCATCCTTTTTATTGTAATATTTTCTCTCCCCATGCAATTCTCTACCTCTCTGCCCCTATTTCTTATAACTGTAACACCCATTACCCCAGCCAAGCACATCCATTCGCATTTGCTTCTTCCTCACTGCAGTCCCTCCTAGTTTATACCACTTCTTAATCCCTTCACCTGTAAACACCAAGCTTGACCCATTTAAGATCAGAAAGCAGTGGCCAAGCAGCCAAGAAGAACACACAGTCTGGCTGTCAGGGCAGTAGGGACCCACACTTTCTCATCAAGAGGTTGATGCACTGAGCATCTGACTACCTACCGAGGCTGCATCCGTGTTCTCACCAGCCAGCTACTGCCAGAGCAAAGACCACTCAGCTCCTGTACAGGCCAACCGCTGCCTGTACAACCTAAAACATTTAGTCACAATGTTTTGCCCTGCCCGAAGGACAAGCAGCTTTTTGACATCCTCCTCCATGTTAAACAAAGATCAAGACCTTGTTCACGCTAAACGTATGGAGGGTTTTTCCCCTGCCAACTGCAAACCTGCCAACTACAGCACCACCTGAAATACTGTTGTAGGAAATGCCTAATAGCAGGCCTTTAGGCCTGGCTGCAATATGAAGTATCTTAATCAAAGGTAGGATAGTAGATAAAAAGTGATATAGTGAGGATACAGATTTAGATATGGTTTTTTGTTTGAACATATACTGTCTTTTGATAACATTTTTTAAATGTTAGAAACTAACAAAGTACATTAAGTACCTAGTGAAAGATTCAAGGTGTTTTAACCTTGGTTAAACCTTAAAGTTATCCAATCAATCTTTCACTTTTTAAAATGCAGACGATCTGAAATACATGCAGAGAGTACTGAAATAAATCACAGGAAAAAAGAAAAAACTCAACATTAAAGTGAAAGCAGTGATCAACCTTTTTCTTTTAAGCATTCTACTTTCATAATCGAGGGAGAGGATGGTTCATACAGACAGAAAAGCCCTTTTTTCCCCCCCTATCTAGTAACATACAAATTCCTAGCATGCGGAACACCACACTCAGTGAATCTGTATGCTATACATCCTCTGAAAACCCTAAAAGCTTTCAGGATGTCTTAAGATTCTGGTATTTAATAAAAATGGAAAACAAGCCCCTTAAACTTCCTGTGGGCCAAATCAGAAATTCCAGGCATTACTGCGTGTGTACTGTGCATCACCACAAAGGCCATAATACAGCACAGGTATAGTACACTCAAGGTGAGGCAACCATATGTTTCCTGCAACAAAAAGGAACATAAATCCTCTTAGGATGTGTTAACAAACATACATGTAAAGTATCAGAAGCAATAATAATGTTGTATTCAGCTCCAATAAGGCACCTTCTGGTTTAGGGTTATTAATTTTGCTTTGTAATTATAATTGATACTGAAAGAAGTAACCAAGCAGGCAACCTTCTCCCAGCTGGTAAAATTAGTGCTCCCACAGATGGCACCTCTCCTTCCAGCTGGAAATTTCTACCTCTTCAGAACAGGGACCCACCCTCCTGATCTCAGAGAGCAGAAACAAGTGTTTGAGAGCTAAGGGGCTGGAAGGTTAAAGTGTTTTAATTAAAAGATTTATACTATCAACTGCAGATGTTCTTTAGTACACTCCAAAATCTTCTATTTACTCATTATTGCCCCTCTGTCAGGGATCCTGCACCCTTAAACCTGCTGACTGCCAAATTACCCCTTT